GCAGTCTTGAGATGAAGGTCTCACTGGGAAGGTAGGCCTTAAGATGGTAAAAGACCGATGAGAGCACCAGACTATTGGCTGATATCGTCCACTCAACAAGAGAGAAACTGCGGGAAAAGGGGGATCATCTTGCAATGGCTCGTTCCAGAAGTTCACTGAGGTATTGGCCTTTGAACGATGTTCCATTTCCTGGGGTCACGATTGTACCCAAAATGATGATTTTTTTTCCTGTTCCAGGAGATGCTCAATGGGAAGTCTGTGTGGTCCCTCTACCCACCCATCAGAGGCCTTGGCTTTTTCTGAAGTTGACTCTTATTCCTGACGCGGGCAATAAGTCCTCAAAGATCTTCTTGATGAGCTCCAACTGCCCATCTTGGCAGATAAGCAGGACGATATCGTCGGCGTAGGCTAGGACATTATTACGGCCGAGTAGCTTATTCAGACAAAACAGGAGGGGTCCGTGCATTTGGTGAAGAATGTGGCATTCGAAGTGCGCCTTTCCTTACACTGTTGAGAAAATGGAACACAGGAGTTATTTCCGCACTGTCGATTCTAGCCGTCGCCTCTGCACGAATGGTGCGCGAAAATACCCTTTGATTCAGCGAACGCAATATTTTATTACCGCTGGTCCATGTAGATGGTGGTCGCGAAGGAACCTGTGCCCCTGAGGGGTTTATTTCCGAGATCAGAAAGTGATGGGTAATCTAGACTGATCGATGCGTTCTCGAGGTTTGATCGAACAAACCATCTAGTTTGAGTAACATAGTCGTCATCTTCCCTGTGCAAGTCGTGAAGGAACTGATATGGATGCTAGAATATTTTTTTTTATTTATACACAAAAGTTTATTATTTTACATATGTTATTTCTCAGCAAATTTGCCTCATTCCCTTTCAGTACTTTCATTAATAAGTTTTTAATTGTTTTGATAAAAATAAATTGCATGTCATCCTACATCCTAAGTATGTCCTCCCTAATTTTTCTAAGTGATATTTTGGGGAAGATGCTGGGTAGATAGGGAAGACAACCTGAAGATTGCCGAATAGAACCTTGAAGCCACGAGTGCTGTGAATTACATTTTTCGCAACTAAATATAGTCTCGTCCAAGAAGATTTGTATTAATTAATTGACCAGTATGTTTGGAATATAGCGATGTATTATATTTCTTACCACACAGTGTTGGAAGTTTTTATTCAATATCGCGCGTGCTGTACCAAGAAAGCTGTCACACCTTTAATTATCATGTTAACCAGTATCAGCGAATCACGAGTACTTCCAATTGGTTGAATTGAATATTCTAAGGAATAAATTTTCCGTCGTTTTACTTCCTTTGTGCAAGTACATGGCTTGGTTTGTTTTACATGTAGCATCTGGCCTCTATGAATCTTTCGTAGGCAAGAGCTACATATCTGAAACAAGGGTCAGTTCCTCGAAAATCTTTCTCTTTTTTTATCTTTAGATTCTTTTGATCTGTAACACAAAGGGAAGGTGAAAAGTTTTCATCAAGATTTGAATTTTTGTTTGTGGATTCAACCGCTAAGCGATATTTCAATATCTTATTGGGAGATAATTATTTTTTACCTAGAAGTTGCCAGTTATGTGTGAGTTTTGTCATTATCCACCCCACAAAATTAATTTCAAACTTTCATCTATCATTATCCTGAATTTAAAATCTTTGGAGAAATATTCTAGCCCCTGTTGCAAAGCTCTGTGATATATATGTGTATATATTGTAGCACTATAGAAAGTAAATCTATATATAATAGGTGATGGTTTTGGCTTGAAGTGTTTTTCTATTTTCTTATCTACCACAATTAACTGAGATTATTGGCTTTGTTCTGGATTCTTTAATTTCATTCGCTAAGATGTTCTGTTCAATTATTTCTTAGTAACACTTACAATCAAAGGGTTCTTCCTTCTAAAGGGTTTAATGTATCCAATCTTCAGTACTATTTGTTTGGACATTACTTCTTTTTCTTTTACACAGTTATATATTAATCTAATGATGTAAAGGTAACAAAAGCAAACCAAGGAAGAGAAGGTTTTTTTCGCAAAGCTAAGTTGAAGCACGCGTCTAGCATTACAAGCAACTGCTAACAATCTACTTTGAAAGCTGCCTGGCCACATATTTGAAGAGAGACAAAGAAATTTCACATAATTTTATTGACATTCAGTCAATTATTAAGATACAAAATTCGCACAGTTATGTTAGTGATGATGAAATATAACAACAAAATGATTAGAATTAACTACTGTTGTAGTGTTCGCTTGCAAATCGCCAGCGGGTCTTCAGCGAACCCAGACATTTCGCGGGCCACAAAGAAACTGTAGATCGTGTGATTCGCCGCTGTAGAGATAGTGATGGCATGTTCCTTGAGACCCAGTATGAATATCCAGAACTGCAACTCCGATGGACGTCCTATGTTAGAGAACACCTCTCGATGAAGGCGGACCGAGCTGCAGGGGGGCCAGTAGCGGTGCGCCAGTGGTTGTTCGCTGGAGCGGGGTGACCCCACATGAGGCAGGGCGTGTAGAACCAGTTGAAGATCGATGTCCGGTTTATGAGCCTCGAAGGAGAAGCGACAGAGAGATTAGAAGGGCATGCTGGTGAATGGCGACCTCGAGCGCCTAAAGCTGGAGATACCAAGAAATGGGAATGGCTTACAGGCGGGCATACTCCATCATGCGGCTAGCAATGGTGTACTAACATACAAGAGCGGCGTGGCCGTGTCCTTACTCTTATGAAAAAAAAAAGTGAGGGGGCTTGGCTCATTAAAACTTTTAAATGTGCTTTTTAAGAATGCAAAACTTTCAATATAAAAATAAACGGTTTTAATAAAATCAAAAATAAGCTTATTGAAATCAAAATAAAAAATTACCTGTTGACAAAAGAGAGAGATATTTATAACCCAGGTTCCTGGAGCTCTTGGAAAAATAAAAACAATAATAAAGTAAACTAATTTCTTCAAAAATATAAATGTGTTTAGGTTAAAAATTTGAAAAATAAAATATATTTTTGTTAAAGTTTCAAATAAAATCGAAAAATATCGTGCTTAAAAATCAAAATTTTTTATTAAAGTGTGAAATATCATTAAATTGTAAAATGTCTTAAAATTGCAAAACCTATATAGAGAGAAATAGATTTAACCTTAGCTTCTAGAGAACCATAAAATACTTATTTTTTTAAAGACTAAAATAAAATTATAATTGTAATAATTTTTGCTCTAAATAAATAATTTCTAATTTATTTTTCAAAATGCGAAATCAAGATATAAATTTTTAATATTATTTTTTCTTGTGATAATAAATACAAATAAACAAACAAAATCATTTCCCTACTTTGGGTTCGAGGCTAAGTCTAGCAGCCATTGACCAGTTCTGGATACGCTTGTCCCGTTTGTTGACGTTGTTTCTTCCGGTGCCATTCTGCGGAAGTGTTTCTACATTTATTGCCCAAGAAGCATTCTGCAATGCTCCCAATTTTTTACTAAACACAATAGTGTTGCCACTAAATTCCTTTCTAATATCGTTTTATATGATTAGAATGCTCATTTCACGACCCAATATTTATAAATAATTGAAAATATAAAAAATGTCAACGACATCGCCCCAAAGACCAACCACCCCAAAGAAAGAACTTAATATTCCAAATGAAGTTAAAGAACATTGGTGCAAACACGTGTATGAATGTATCGTCTGTGTTGGACCAAATGGAACTCTAAACATTTCAATTGCAGGAGGTTCAGACAATGGTGAATTCCCGTATTTTACCAATGTAGTTCATGAACATATTAGTTATCTTGAAGGACGGATCGAAAATGATGACATCATTTTGGAAATCCAAGGACAAAAGGTAGCTGGATTCACCCAAAAAGATGTCATTGCCTGGCTAAATCACTGCAGCCGAAGTGGAGACACCGTCGCCTTTATTGCCACTAGAGCAGGTAAGTGAATTCATATTAATATATTCATATATATATGTTTTAAAATATAAAATATGACCAACCATCAATTTTAGGTAAACATAATAATCAATTAAATGTCAGACACCATTTTTGCACTTTGCGTTCGCAAATCAATACACTCCCAATATTGTTTTTAAAATTACCCCATTTTTAAAATGATATTGTGGTTTTGAAATAATCAATATCAAATTTTTTAAATATATAAACACACGATAAAATAGATATAAAGACCCAGTGAGATGTCAATATATGTTTGCCATAACCGTTACATTTTCAACTTTAAAATATAATTTTAAAAATAATAATAAATATTATAAAAGTTTACACCCCATAATTAGTTTATATATTTTAAAAACCCAGTACATATTTAATTTATATTCAATAATATGTCCCAATAAATTGTGACATTTTGTCACAAATAAACTTTATCATTAATTTTTATTGAACTTTTATAAAAAATAATTCTTTTAAATAATTTTAATGTTGGTGTTTTTATATTACAATATGTTTAAGAAAACCATGGTTAAAATATAACACACAGTGACATTTACTATTAATATATTTTAGGGATTTTTTAAAATCCTTTTTTAAACCTAAAGGTAACTCAGGTAAAAGATTGAAATTAATATTCATGAAGACATTATTGATTCTCTCAACCACTTTTTTTTTTTTTTGGTTTGGCAGAAAATTTTGATCAACCTTAAGAAAATTTTACCAATCTGCGTTTATAAAATAATCAAATCAATTAAAATAATGATATATATTTTTTATTATTATCCCTTGGGTCATTACACAATGTCATGGGGACTTTACATGTATCTTTTTTTTTTTTTTTGCTTATCCCTAGTACACATGGTACAGGCCATGATAATCATGGTGGGTAGTGGTAGGTGACTGCTTTTACTGTAAGTGCACCACATGTCTACACATGTGAAAGTTTGACTTTGCACTTACAAATGTGCCAGAGCCCCGTTTGGTTACTTGCACTCGCTGGTGGGTTTGGACTTTTGCAAGAATCGGGGGCCATTGAAGCATTTTTTTAAGCAGAAAAAAGTGCCCAATGCGGGAATCGAACCCGGGTTGTAGCGGTCGAAAACCAACTTCTAAGTACTGACCAGGCCCGACATTGCTCAATTTCGGTGAGCAGATGAGAACCAATGTTTTCAATGTGGTATGGCCGTAGGCAAAAAAAAAAAAAAAACTTCTTGGACAGGATTCGAACCTGTGCGGGAAGATCCAAATGGATTTCTAGTTCATCGCCTTAACCACTTGGCCACGACTGCTTGACGAGAAAAAATAACACAGCATGTTTTAAATAATTACTGTTATCAGTATGCTCCAATGGCCCCTGATTCTTGCAAAAGTCCAACCCTACCAGCGAGTTCAAGTAACCAAACAGGGCTCTGGCACATTTGTAAGTGCAAAGTCAAACTGCTTTTCACATGTGTATACATGTGGTGCACTTACAGTAAAAGCAGTCGCTAACTACCCACCATGATTATCATGGTCTGTACCACCTGTACTAGGGATGATAATAATTACTGTTATCAAGGTGTGTAAACAAGATAGCAGATAAGAAGAAGATAGAATCTGAGAAACCTAAAATATATTATTGTGATATCTTGTTTACACACTTTGATAACAGTAATTGATTTAAAACATGCTGTGTTATTTTTTCTCATTCAGTACTTTTGTCTGAAGATGGTAACAACGCTGTTACCATCACACACTATTCATTTGGATTTGGACTAATTACCTTGTGTTTATTTAAATGCCCCAAATGTGATTCCCAACCAGCCAGTCCTGAACATCTATTAAATTGTATCAAATCCTCCAAAAAAGACCTCTGGGAAAACCCCAGGACTATAATAGAAAAGCTGAGACAATGGAACCTAATGGAGATCGTTTAAACAACTTGAGGAATAAGTAACAACAACAACCTTGTGTTTATAATCTTTTATATTCAAAATTGTGCCTTACAAGTCTTCCAAAAAATCACTTTATTAGGTACCGCTCAAAATCAGCAACCTAGTTTATGATATTTGCAACAATGAATAAAATGTGAAGGTTATTCACATATTAAATAATGTTAATGCGGGATTCAATCCTGGTTCATGGCTTTCTGTAATCGAGGGTGTTATTCAATCGTTTACCGACTTCTCCTTATCAGTCTAGCGGATTTTTACATCCAGCTTAGAGAAAAAGAAATAGATGAATGACTTCTTATTTCCTTGGTTTTTGTTGGAGAGTTCAAGGACCAGTTTTTGATCATTGAGGTACAGTCTGCTGCATACTTCTTCTTCTTTCTTATCTCCACTCAATCATATTAGGGTGTCAAGCTTGTAAAGCTTGAAATTGACAACCATTCTGATTGGGTGAAGTAGAATGCATCTGCCTTTGTCATTAAGACTGGGAGTACTACTCAGTGGTAGGCCGACTTAGCTCCAAAAGAAATGGCCGCCTCTGACATGAGGAACAGACGCCATGTGCAGCTGTCCTAACATGGAGTACAAACGCTACTCATCCTGTATTCCTGGATCAGGAGCCCTTACAGCAAGCATGTCAAACTCAAATCCTAATACAGGCCAAATAAAAAAGTAATAAGATTATGTGGGCCGCAAAAAATACTTATGGCGATGTACATACGTTATGTATGTAGGTATAATATTATCAAAACTTACGACTTATGTATGGCGACCAGTGGTTCGTTATTAATAAATAAATTATGTATAATTACAATTTTTAAAAATTAGGCTACAAATTTTTATTATTATTTTTTTTAATTTATAATTTTTTTTAAATTAAAATATTTTGTCTGGTGGGCCGCAAATTTATTCGTTGTGGGCCGCATGAGGCCCGCGGGCCGCGAGTTTGACATGCTTGCCTTACAGGGTACTATCAGCCGGGCCTGCTGAGCCCAGGTTTTTTAGTGAGCTTGTTACTGCTCCTCCTCCTCCTTTTTCATCCGGGCTTGGCAAAGGCGGAGTTTGCTCCATACTGATGAGAGCCAACAGCCTGAAATGTACATGTGGTTGGTTTTTCATTGTTAATAAACAAAGGGCCAATTCTGGGAAATAATAAAAAATCAATATGTTGATATTTATTATGACAGATAGCACATCAGCAACTTTTAGTTGCACGATCAGGAGATGCCCTTTAAAAAAAAAAGATATGTGTTCATGGTAAAGTGCAATTTTTTTTCAGCTTACTCCTATCACACGTGGTACAGGCCATAATAATCATGGTGGGAAGAAGCAGGCGACTGCTTTTACTGTAAGTACACCACATGTCTACACATGTGAAAAGCAGTTCGACTTTGCACTTACAAATGTGCCAGAGTGCCATTTGGTTACTTGCACTCGCTGGTAGGGTTGGACTTTTGCAAGAATCAGGGGCCATTGGAGCATTTTTTTTTTTAAATGAAAAAAGAGTGCCAAATGCAAGATTCAATCCCGGGTCGTAGAGGTCGAAAACCAAAGGGTTTAGACCATCCTTGAACTGACCCCCCTTTTAAGGTGAAATTTAGATTATGGATTAGAAACACAAGATCTTCTTTCTTATCTCCACTCAATCATATTAGGGTATCAATCCTGTAGAACTTGAGATTTAACAACCATCATGATTGGGTGAAGTAGAATGCGTCTGCTTTTGTCATTAAGACCTGGAGCACTTCTCAGTAGCAGGCAGAGAAACACAAGACCAAATCTATAAACAGTGTGTCTGTAGCAGCACTGTTACATCACACACAACCTTGTATCATGTGTTTCATTACATTTTTTGCCTCATCAACTCAATATATATAATGACTGTTGCCACATTTTTTTATAGTCCTATAAACGTTTTTATAAATTTAATTGCCATCTATCAATAAAATTTGTAATAAATATTTTTGGCCATGTGTTTCTTCTCACATTTATATCATCAAATATTATCTTCTCATAGGGAACCTATGGACATTGCAGTAAGGTCTGTAGAGATAATATTTGATGATAATATGTAAAAAGAAACACATTGTCACATTATCAACTCTCCTGTAAGAGAACACCTCTCCATAAAGGACACTTTAGCTCTGCAACTAGGTGTCCTTTACAGAGAGGTTTTACTGTAGTCCCAATATATAGAATTCTTTATTTTACCAAAAACAACTATTGAAGAATAGCGGAACCATTTCAGCTGATCAATCTAAAGACTTGCACATCTTTCCTCTTCTGTATGTTATTATTATTTTTTTGCTTATCCCTAGTACACGTGGTACAGGCCATGATAATCATGGAGGGTAGAAGTAGGCGACTGCTTTTTACTGTAAGTGCACCACATGTCTACACATGTGAAAAGCAGTTCGACTTTGCACTTACAAATGTGTCAGAGACCCGTCTGGTTACTTGCACTCGCTGGTGGGGTAGGACTTTTGCAAGATTAAGGGGCCATTGGAGCATTTCTTTTTTTATAATCAGAAAAAAAGTGCCCAATGCTGGAATTGAACCCGGGTTGTAGCGGTCGTAATCCAACTGTATGTATTATTTCAAATAGCAGAATGTTACATTTTAAGACATCTCATTGTTTACGCTGGCAACTAGTGGCTGTTTAAGTTGGGTCTAAATCATCCAGGAAGAAACCAAAATTGTATGCAATGTTGGCACTAATATTTGCAATGCATTGTAACACATTGAAGCACAGTGCACATATGCTAAATATGGCAGCTGTGCCCTGCATGCCAAATTATGTATTTTTTTTTAACAATAAATTTGTATTTAATGTATTTGAATTATCTAGCGATGTCAATATTTGAGTTTAAAAAATCTGTCAAAATATCATTGGTGTCAAATTATCATTTGGTTGAATTAACATTGGATATTTGTTGTTGTTATTTCTTATCCCCTTGTGTAAAGATTACATGAATTGCATGAGTTCATGCTCCTCGGTTATTTGATTAACATTGGTAATTTGATATGATGAAGACATAGAAACATGGTTGAATTATCGCAAGTGTCCTAATTAAAAAGGTATTACACTATGTATATCTATATAATATTAAACTTACAAAACTGCTTGGAGGGTTTACTACTGATGAGTTAGGCCTTCCCATTAATGTATCCTTGCAGTAGAAATTATTTTATTTCAAAAAGAATCGTACATGTCAAAAGTAGTTTACATTTCTTAAAATATACCTTTGTCAATTTCTAGGGAAGTTCTCAACCTGATTTCAGTCAGTACATTCAGAGCAGAAATACATTTAAGAGCTTGACAGGTTGTGTTTTCTGGGAGCTCTTGTACAAAAGAGGAGTACAAAAAAGATAATAAACACAAGGTAATAAGACCAAATCCCAATAAATAAATAGTGTGTGAGGTATCAGTGACAGCGTTGTTGCCATCTTCAGACAATAATACTGAATGAAAGAAGAGAGAGAGAATTTAGTTTTACACAGGTTACTAACCAAATTGCATTTTTTTGAACCCAAATTGAAAAAATATACTTCAGCCTGTTTTAAATAGTTAAGTTATCAAGTGTGTAAACAAGATAATAGATAAGAAGAAAATAGTTTTCTTGTTTACACACTTGATAACGGTAACTATTTACAGTACTTTTGTCTGAAGATGGTAAAAATGCTGTTACTTAAACATCACACACTATTTATTTGGATTTGGTCTTGTTACCTTGTGTTTAAAGTGACATGTATATATCCAGTAGAATATACTACCCAAGCATGGCCTCAAGTAGAAGAGGTTTGACTGTTATAGCCACTTTAAGCTCCCCATAAATATAAAAATATTGGTCAATTAGATTCATCCCCCTTTTTCTCTTCTTCTTCTTCTTCTTTGAAGGACCATTTTGCTGACCTTGAGCCTGGGGATAAATCTCTGTGGATGTGACCTCTTTTATTTTATCTTCCAGGGGAATTTCCTTCAATCTACAGGCCCCCCATTTTTCACTTAAGGCTCTCAATTTATCCAATAGTTGGAGTTGTGATTGGTCTTTTTCGATGTCAACTTTAAATGTATATTGAGACACAGAGAGATAGGCTAGGTTGACCTTTGATAAGGTACACAATTTGGATTATAGATTGTAAACACAAGGTAATAAGACCAAATCTGAAATAGTGTGTGATGGTAACAGATGTGTTAACATCTTTAGACAATCATTCAGTACTTTTGTCTGAAGATAGTAATAGCATTGTTACCA